ACGCAACAACCCGCGTATAAGATCATTCTCGTATTGGACTTGGAGGAAGCAAGAGCTCTTGTGAGTACTATTACTGTTATTTAGATTGTTAACCTGTGTCACCAATAAATTATATTGTGTTTTGTACTAAAGGTGTTTTTATCATTTGCAACGAGTGTAAATAGTAATTGTGGTGACGTCAGCAGTGCTGACGTCACCACATCCTAAAAACCCGGCTGAGCTAAATGCGTCGTTATATCAATATTTATTTGGTCTATACCTATTGCACTTGTCTTGATGTTCCTTAAAATATTGAGTACAGTAGTCTGGTCTACTGGTTTTAGTTCAAAGTGTAAATTTGCATCATATCTATGAAACTCATAGTATGTTAGCTTAGACAAGCTCAGTCTACGTTCACCTGGTATATTTAAAAAGTCTCTATTAATAGTATCTGGATTGTTAAAGTGATCAGGCAACATTCTAGGTTTATGTGATTGAAGTACATGATTTTGACGACCGGATGGCGTAGTGGTTTGTGTAACGGACTGCTATTCCAGAGGTCGCGGGTTCGATTCCCGCTCAAGTCAAACATTTGTGTGCATGAACATTTAATGTTTGATTTGGTCTGGGTGTTTCTATGTATAATATGTATGTATTTACAAAAAAAAAGGTATATTATGTATTTATATCAGTTGTCTAGTACCCATAGTACAAGCTCTGCTTAGTTTGGGACTAGATGGCGTTATGTGTATGTTGTAGATTATTAATTATTATTATTATTATTTTTTAGATTTTTCCACGTAAACTTAGGGTTTTTTATGTTATTATTAATGTTTCTTGAGAAGTATACGGATTTTTCGTTATACTCGTATAATGCTACTTTTGCTTGATGCTTGAGATCTAGGTAATTTTTTTTTTTTGAATCTAATTTTCTTTGGTGATATATAGTTCGAGATTTGTCCCGCAACCTAAAAATAAGCTTAATTGTGTCTGTTATCCATGGGGTGTACTCGCCTTTGAATAAATATTGTTTGAATTGAGCGTATCTGTCTAATGTGTATAATGTGTTTGGATAAACCTTCCACCATGTTATCAACCCCCTCCTGAGAGGATAGTGATTGCCATGGAATACATTCCAAGTCTGTATTAAAATGGTCTGGCAAGATGTCCTTATATGGTCTATTTGTCACCCATCTGGGTTTGATCTTAGCTTTTCTAAACACTGTCTCACAAGTAACTATTGAGTGCTGGCCCAAGTAAGGAATATGACTTACTAAAACATTTCTAACACTAATATCTGTGCATATGATATCTATTAATGTACTACTATCTGCTGTGAAGTGTGTTGGACTGTCTACTACCTGCAGCATATTAGTGTAGTGTAAGAAATGCTGCAATTTTGTAGTGTTCACACTGCACCCATCAAGCACATTAATATTAAAATCCCCCAATAATATAATATGATCATATGGAGCCAGTGCACTAATGCTTTCAGTCAAACTGTCCAAAAAAGTCTCTGTTAACAACCATGGGGGCCTGTAAGCTGTGCCAATGAGAAGTTTTTTACCTGCTATGTTTAATGAAAGCCAATACTGCTCCACCTCGTTATTTGTAGGGTGGCTTCTGGTTTGTACCTTAACCCCATTTCTTATATAAAATCCTACTCCTCCACCACGTCCACCCCCGACACTAATAGGTCTTGGAATGTGCCTCAGTCTGTAACCCGGCACTGAAGGTCCTTCCATCTTCACCCGACCTCAACCAAGTTTCATTAATGGCCATGATGTCAACTGCGTGCAGATCCATTGCAATCAAAAACTCATCATGCCTAGTACCCAATGAACCTGCATTAAACAATCCAAACTTTAAAAATTTGCTACGGGTCATTGCTTATTATAAAATATTTGTAGGTAACTACATAAAACGGCAGCTGCTTATCATTATAACGTTGGAGTTGCAGTAAGTAGGCACTACCTATATATGAGAGTATTATAGCCAAAGAGTATCTATTAACGGTCCTGTACATCATTGAAATATTAAACAGAAGTACAGCAACAGCCACGATGCCCAAACACATACACATACAGTTTACATACAGTTTAGTCAATACAAAAGTGCATTCCTGTAGGTGTACTGTCGGTACATGTAAAATTATTAAATAAAGACAGTACTACTCGATCCTTGTTGTTTGAATAACGTGTCCCCGATACACAACATGGCGCAAAAATTAAATAGTAGTCATATACACAATTTTAAAATATAAATAAATATCTTAAAGTGATTAAAGGTTAACATGGAAACTATCCTAACTCCGCCGGCTCCTTTTTGTTTTGATCAAAATACGACAAAAATAACAACTGGTGCGTTAAGTGAAAACTGGAATAAATGGAGCAACGGTTTTAAAATTTCCTTTGAGGCATGTGAATTATCGAAGAAAAGTTCAACAATACAGGTGAACATACTTTTGCATATAATTGGTAAACAATGCCGAGATTTATATGCACAGTTTAATACGAAATGCACAACAGTGGATGAAATATTAGAAAAATTCAAAAATTATTTTTAAAAGAAAAAGAATTTGACGGTGGAGAGACATAAGTTTTTTATACGTAATCAGGATGAAAACGAATCAATTGAACAGTATGTGTATGAGTTAAAAAAATTGGCAATGACTTGTGAATTTGGAGATTTATGTAATTCTCTGATCAAAGATCGTTTGGTTTGTGGAATTTTGAATAATGGTATCAGAGAAAGACTACTGCGAGAAGCAGATTTGACATTAGAAAAAGCGGTAAATATATGTCAAGCGGTTGTCGTTTCTAAGATGTATTCAGAGAAGATATGCACTGAACACAGGAACACGGTAAGCAAAATAAATAATTAGGATTCCAATCAAGAGGACGTATGTAAGATCGAGTCGAGAAGAAATCGGAACGGCCGTGGCGGTTTCGTGGGTCGAGCGAGACATACGACCAACAATGTACCAAGGGCGTTGGTACCGGGTGGCGCGAGCAGCTACAGAGGCAGAACGGTGTCAAGCTATAAAAATATCAATTGTAACAAATGTGGCATGCAGCACCCGAGAAACTCCTGCCCGGCGTATGGAAAACAATGTGGGAGATGCACACGTATGAATCATTTCTCCCGTATGTGTAACGTATTTCGGATTGTTGACTCTGATGAAAAGGTAATTCGTTTAGTGGATAATTTATGTAGTAATGATAAATGGTCGGTAAATTTAATAATAAATCAGTTCCAAATATGTTTTAAAATTGACACGGGAGCCGACGTCAATGTTTTGCCAGAGAGTTTTTTAACTAGATTAAATATAAGCAAGCGGGAGTTGTTGTCCACTACAACAAAGCTACGCGGTTATTCTGGGGCACAAATCAATGTTATCGATAAGTGTTTTGTTAAAGTTATATACAAAAACAATAGTTTTATTTTAGAATTCAAAGTTGCTGAAGTGAATTCTATGCCTATATTAGGTAAATTTGCTTGTGAAGAATAGGGAATATGCACGTGACACCAAAATGGACAAAATATTTTTATTTGTAATTTTTATTGCTAAAAAAAGATACCCATACAATTATTTTTGAAATTTATTATAATTTAATAGTGAAATTTAATCATCAAAAATTGGCTTTTTTAAGATTCCTTCGGAAATTTCTAAACGCAACGCTATTGGTTGAATAAAACGTGACGTCAACCTACACTGTCAAGAGTGTCAACAAGTTGTGTGTATTTGTAATATTTGGTTTCTGGTGATTATTTGTTTCATTTTAAGTTAATAACTAATACGTTTTCAGTGCTAAATTATTAAATTCCCGTGTAGAAAGACTCAACACAATGACTGAATATACTTTGTCAGGTGCAGTTTTGATATTATTTGGGCACAAAGGAACGGCACAATATTTATAATAAGTTTTTATTGGCTTTTCCATGGTAATAAGTTAATTTTTATCACTGACTTTTTTAACTTTCACAAACTTTGTGAACTTCTCTCCGTTGTTGACATCGAATTCGTCTGAAAGTGTAATCTGACGTCACAAAAAAAGCGCGCCAAAATGGACGTGTTCAAATTGCCCCAAAATGATAGTGATTTTAATAATTTTTTTTTTTTGCTTAACGGTTTATATTTCGGATGTATTATATTTATTTTTGGTAATGTAATAACTAGTAGAATCGTTTAAAAAAATTAAAAAAATACATGCATATTCCCTATTAAAATTGGTAAAACGAATATATTCGATAGGTACAGATTCATATAGTAATATGTTAGATGAATATCGAGTCGTATTTGAAGGGTTAGGGTGTGTACCGGGTACCTACAAAATTCAATTAAAAGATAGTGTTAAGCCGGTAGTACACGCACCTCGTAAAATACCTATACCTATTAGAGATCAAGTAAAAACTAAGTTAGAGGAAATGGTGCAACAGGGTATAATAGCGAAAGTGGAAGGTCCAACGTATTGGATGAATAGTATAACTATTGTAAAGAAACAAAATGGAGATTTAAGAATTTGCTTGGATCCGAAAGAATTGAACTTGGCAATTAAGCGTGAACATTTTAGGCTACCCACATTAGAAGAAATATTATCGAATCTTTCTGGTGCTAAGTATTTTAGTACTCTTGATGCCTCGAATGGGTTCTGGCAGACAAAACTCTACCCCAGCTGTACAGACTATTGCATATTTAATACACCGTTTGGACGTTTTAAATTTTTGAGAATGCCTTATGGTATATGCTCTGCAAGTGAGATTTTTCATATAAAAGTTCACGAAAATTTTGATGATATAGAGGGCGTGTGTACATTCGTTGATGATTTGTTAATCAGTGGACGGACAAAATTGGAACATGATAATAGGTTGAGATGTGTGTTAGACAGATGTCGTAAAATAAATTTAAAATTAAATAAAACAAATGTAAATTTGGACTTAGTGAAATTAGATACTTAGGGCACAAGATAACGCGAAATGGCTTATTTCCTGATGAAAGTCACGTGTCAGCAATAATTAATATGCCAAAGCCACAGTCAGTAAAGGACTTGGAAAGGTTTCTGGGTTTGGTGACATATGTAGGCAACTTTATACCTAAATTGTCAGATAAAACTAGACCATTGAGAGAATTATTACAAAAAGATATAGAATGGCATTGGACGGAAATACATGATAGTGCTTTTAGCGAATTAAAAAGGTGTCTCACTAAAAAGCCAGTCTTACAGTTCTATAGCATGAATGATCCCATCACAATTTCAGTCGATGCCAGTAAAAGTGGCTTGGGAGCGGTATTGATGCAAAACCATCACCCTGTTTGTTATGCTCCAAAGTCTTTAACTAAAACTGAGCAACGTTATGCACAAATAGAAAAAGAGTTATATGCCTGCGTGTTTGCGTGTGAACGGTTTTATGGATATATATACGGACGTACAGATATAGTAATAGAATCTGATCATAAACCTCTCGTAACAATTATTAAGAAACCAATCATTGACTGTCCCCCGAGATTGCAACGTATGCTTCTGCGACTTCAACCATATACTTTTAAATTAGTATACAAACCAGGTAAAGAATTATACATCGCGGACACATTATCGCGCGCCTATCAGGTATCAAACAACATTGATAACGATCTACAGAGCGATATCACAGAAGCAATACGTTCACTAACAGTAAAAAACGAACTTACAGATTCACACTTCATCGCGTTGCAAAAAGAAACGGAATTAGATAAAGACTTACAAAAATTAAAACAATATGTTGTAAAAGGTTGGCCGTTTGACAAGTATAGGGTTGAATTAAATATTAAACCATATTGGAATTATAGGCATGAGTTGTCAGAGGCGTGTGGTTTGTTATGGAGAGGTAATAGAATAATAATACCTAAGAATTTACGTAGGGAAATGTTAACCAAATTACATTTTGCTCATTTAGGGTTTGAAAAGTGTTTGTTAAGAGCTAAGGAGTTATTGTTTTGGCAAGAACTAAATAACCAACTAAGAAACTTAGTTGATAATTGTCAAACATGCTTGACCTTCAGAAAGAATAATAGTAAAGAAGAGTTACGCCCACACGAGATACCTAGCGAACCTTGGGTAAAAGTAGGTATGGATTTGTTTTATTTTAACGGTATTAACTATCTTTTAATAGTTGATTATCACAGTAAATTTATAGAAACTATAGAATTAGTAAGTACCCTCTCTGATTCGATTATAAAACATTTAAAAAATACATTTAGCAGAATAGGAATACCCCAGATAGTGGTTTCAGATTGTGGACCACAATTTATTTCCAATGAGTTTCGTAAGTTTGCTCGGGAATGGTGTTTTAATCACGTTACAACGTCGCCTCGATACCCGCAATCAAATGGTCAGTCAAAACGCGCTGTTCAAATTGTAAAAAATATCATGAAGAAAAGTATGCACAGCAAATCAGATTATAGACTGGCACTTTTAGAATACTTAAATACACCTATAAGTGAGAATTTACCCTCCGGCGGAAATACTACAGTCCAGAAAGTTACGAAGTATTCTTCCAGTAGTGAGGTGCTTACACCCGTCGTCAGGTCTTATTAAACGTAAGTTGATAAGAAGGCAACAGGTTTATAAGCAATATTATGATAGAAATGCAAAGAAATTAGCTGCTCTTTCTGTAGGTCAGCCTGTTAAAATTAAAGACCTAAACAATAATAAGTGGATATCAGGAACAATAACAAAACAGTTGAGAGAACGTAGCTACGAAATAAAGTTATCGTCTGGTAATATTATAGTTAGGAATAGACGTCACATGATTGCCGATTCTTTACAGAAACATCGCAAGACAAATGTTAATTCTTATGACTCATACGCAGACTACGATGATGTCTGTCCTACTGAGACGCACAGATCGTTGAACTCGGCTCCCGGCGTCGACACTTCTGTACCTTGTAATAATGGCATAAATGCAGATGGTGATAGATATTATGTTAATCGTTTTGGCAGGACAGTCAGACCTCCGGATAGATGGGGATACTAAGCAAACCGCTGTCGAATATCAACATTAGATGGCGAACATGTAACTGGTATATAATATTATTGAATGTAGTTAAATAACTGTTTATGAACACTGTAATTATAAATATATGTGTGTGTACCCAAGAATAATCATAGTTTGATTTAATTAAATTAAATGCATATTAGATTATATTATTATATTAGATGCGGAATGCATAAACTTAATAAATATCACCTATTCTGAATTAGATAAATAGTACCTATGAATTAAATTATTTGTAAATTGTAATTAAATTGTTTGTTGTGTTTGATTTGATTCATTAAATGTCAATTATTGACATTGGGTGCAATAAGATTAGACACTAATTATAATGGTATGAAATTTTATATAACTTAATACATTATAAGAATTTTAATGTGTTGTGTATTGGAATTTTGTGTAAATTTTGTAATGCATGCTTTTATTATTTTTGATAATGAGTATGTGATTAGTGTTTGATTAATTGTTCTGATATTTCTGATAATTTTATTGTAACTGTAATTGTACCTATTATTATTATTTTTTGTTTGTTTTCAAGGGAGATGTCGGTACATGTAAAATTATTAAATAAAGACAGTACTACTCGATCCTTGTTGTTTGAATAACGTGTCCCCGATACACAACACAACCCTCATCAGCACTATATGGTTACAATTTAGGTTGTTGCACAATGTAAACACTATTCAATTTCTGTTTTTTAAGGCTTATACATTTCATACACCGTGTACATATTCCCAGATTATTTTTATTTGTTGGAAGGTTATGTTTATGATTTTTTACTATCAATATTTGCATGAAATTCGTTAAGACAATAGTTGTATATAAATATGTTTTAGAATAAGGTGTACATAAATGTTATTTATAAAATCTTGATTGTAAATATATATTTACATGTATAACATCTCCAATTATATCTTCCACATTATTCCACATGAGCATCACTGTTATGATGACTACAAACATTAGGGCGCATTCACACAATACATACAAGAACCATACACGCATAATCTCATAAAGCGGTATAAGTGGTAAACGGATCACATCTATTACACATATATTACATAATACACATATTACACAATTTACATATATTACACAATTTACATATATACAGAGAAACTGCAATATATACATGCTAATCTTTGTTAGCCGCGGCAGTCTCTCTGACAAAAACCCGCTCCAGATCGCTCTCTGAACAAATTACATACGTGCGTTTCCCATCCGCTTCCTTAGTGAGTATTCTACCGCGTTTGGTCCACGTAAATCTCCAACCCAATCCAGTGGCTGCTTGTCGGGTTCGATAGAACAAGTGTTTGTTGCTTCTAGTGAGCCTTTCGTTGAGGTAGAAACGCTGCGACGGCGCATCAATGCCAAGGCCGGCTGTAGTGGCACCGCGTCTCACGCGCGCGATCTGCAGCAGTTCGTCTCGTAACCCGCGCCGCGCCAGTCTTACTACGATACGCCGGCACCGCGACGGCGCTGCAGCCCCAGTCACCTCACGTGACCGCTCTACTCGTGGGCCGTCTCTCTCTGCAAACACTATGTTCCGTGGCTCCACGGTAACGCCTAGCTTTTTGGCTACCAGTTCAACAGAGTGAAATACGTTCCCACCAGGGCTCTCAGGGAGGTTCGAAATCTCAATGTCAGATAGCAGCAGTTCCTGTTCTCTTTCATTGAGCTCCGTTTGCAGTTGCTTCACTGTATGTTCTAGCTGGTTCACTGCATCTTCCTGGGAGGCTGCGGCGTGCTTCTTCTCGAGGTCATCGAGTTGTGTCTCCAGGTGGTCGACCTTCTTTTTGTATGTGGCCACAGCCTGACGAATATCAGCCATCATATCCTCTGGGAATGTAGTCTTTGGTATAATGAACGTAATATAATGCTGAATAGCTTGCAGGTGACATCTGGGGCGGTATACTATGGGGATCTTGTGTCAACTAGGGTGAATTTCCGTGCGTTTAGGCGATTCTGCCATACATATTATAAAAATCAAACATAGCTCACGTAGGACCCGTAATATTTGTGGCCGTGGTGCTTCCCTGTTTAAAAGGGTGTATGCCCATTTTACTTCCTTTTGTCTCCCGCTTTGCTAAGGAGGGAAGTGGATTTACTGTATTTCCAACTCCTCCAATTTTCTTCTGATTAATTTCGTTGCGGGTTCCAAGACAGTTTAATTTCTTCCTGGGACTTCCCGAGTGTCATAACTCCGTGTGTTCGTGGGTCACTGCTGTGGATCCTGGTGTACAGGAGTTACAGTGGTGGGCGTGTGGGTGGGATTAGTCCCATAAAAAAAAAAAAAAAAAAAAAAAAAAAAGAATATCAGCCATCTCAAGACGAATCTCCCGCAGCTCAGACTTCACATCCTCTCTCATCTCCCTCATCTCCGCTCGCATAAGCTTCAGTTCGCGGGCAATGTCAGTGTCAGCACTTCTTGATAGACTAGCACTGCCACAGACCGATTGAGAGGAGTCATAAGAGCTGGTGGGAGTACTCTTATCGTCTTCATCGCACGTTTCCCTCGCTGTAGATGGTTGGGTGTGGTCCTTAAGGGGCTTCCCTTTGCAATCAGGGCACTTCCATCCTCTGTTCACCTTCGCAGTCTCCGGCAAACGTAGACATGGCAGATGGTAACTTTTTGTACATTTGCAACATACAGCGCCACCTTTTGAGGAAGTGAACTTCCCGCATCCTGCACAATTCGCCATTTTATCTAAACAAAATACTAAACGGACGCTAGGTGGCTCTAATTGAGATCTGTATAATGACTGTTCAGTATTTAATAAATATTTAATAAAAATGGGGTAGATTTTATTCACTTGACGGTTTCGAATTGAGTATTATCACTATTTATTTAAGATCACACAACACTTTAAGACTCTAAAACACTGTAAAGTTATTCTTACAACACACCAAACTTTGTAAACTAATAAATTATTTAAAAAAGAAACTTGTCTACAAAGATATTGTTAAGTAGGTGCGTAGCAATAAGACAGCGGTTGAATGCGAACTGATTTATTATTCGTCCCCGCGCCGGGACGCGATATACAATGTAGGTAGATTCATAACAGATATGTTACAACATACTAATATAAGAGAGAGCCCATAAGAGAGATTTTAACCCTAAAGGTCAGTTAAGAGGTGACAAAGGAATTAAGCATTGTGAAATTATTAAGCCATTATTTTCCGAGACTTCAAACGACAAAATTCTCAAACTTGGGGGGTAGTCTACCAAAACTCAAAAAATACAAAACTTCCACTGATTTAGTGATATTGGGACGATCCTAATGAATTGTTTGAGAGATTAAAATTATTAGTAGCTTCAAAAGATGCTGGCAATTCAAACCATGATAATGAAATTTTATCCATAACCGAGGAATTGAAAGAAGCTAAAATAATTAAGGAATAAATGCTATGTATAATAGAGCTTCGATTCAGTATCATATAGTTAATCATGTGGCGACTCCCACATTCAAAGAAACAGAAACATACTACAGCGCCATCTAATGAAGACACACCGAACTACGGAATAACTACTAAAATAAGAATTGCTAATCCTGTATCGCGATATAAAGAATTCCCTCACCGATTAGCATATATACAACTTCCCAAGACATTGCGACGCTGCCGTGTAGGTACAGTTCACCGACTCATGTTATCAATGGTGTTCTAATTGGGAAATTATTTTATTGTATTTAGTTTGTTCTAAATTTGCATTTCTGTATTTTCGTACTAATTTTTTATTTTTTTATTTTAACCGACGTATATTGAACCGTGTTATCTGTTATTTCATTTTTTGTGATAACTATACCGCCACAGTGTATATATATATATATATATATATATATATGTCTGTGTGTGTGTGAGTGTGTGTTACTGAGAGGGTGGAGAGTTTTGGAGGGAATTTCTATTTGCAATTATGTGGTTTAGCCATAAGTTCAAGTTCTTCATAGTTCAGGGTGTGCAGCCATTGATTTGTAACTAACTTGCAAGTCCTAAGCGTAACTGGATTGACATTCAGTATTCTATTTACTCGGTTGTATATAACAGGGCTAATAAAATGATATTGACGCTTAAGGATCTCAAACCTGGCCACCTCAATATGGCTCACCCTATCAGACCTCCGTATCCGGGAAATAGATACCGCGTCAAATGACAATTCTGCATGCTTGCGCAGTATGGTGCTCAGCAAGAATGTGTCTGACTGTAGGGAGTTTACATAGGTCATAGAGCTCCTTGGTTGTGAAACGAATAGGCTTACGTGTCATAACTTTCAGCACAGCCCGCTGCGACCGTTCCAAAGGCAGCATTAAGGATTTTACTGAGCCACCCCATGCAGTAACACAGTAGTTCAACATAGAGTGAGCGAGAGCAAAATAAACGATTTTCAGTGTTTGTAGGTTGGCAGCCGTTCTTAAATGTTTGAATACAAATATTAATTTACGAACTCTTGGCACCAATGATCTAATTTGCTCCTTCAAGGTCAACATACTATCCACGTACACTCCAAGGTATTTGATAAAATCTGTGCGTTTAATAGCAATACAATTACAGTTTTGAGTAGTAGAACACAGGTGGGCACTTAGGGAAAAAGAAGAGGGCTGCTGAGATGCAATTCTTGGAGAAAAAGTGATGAATTTAGTTTTTTCTAAGTTGAGTGTAAGAAGGTTATTGGCTAGCCAATTCATAATGGTCTGCAGAGCAGATACAGCCAAAGAACGTGCATCATCCCAACTTTTACCATGAATCAGTAATACTGTATCATCTTGTAGCCGCTTTTCTTATCAGGCGGACTACTCACCGGCTGACCCAGTGGAGAGATTCACAAGATTACCTCAGGGCGCCTTTTAATAAACAGAAGTGTGTGCGTGTGGGATACCTATGGGACCCCTTAGAGAAAAACAACTTACACCTCAGTCATACATACATGTATATTAAAAAAAAACAAAATTAAGGTTACGATAAAAAAAAACAGAGGGTATAAGAAA